CTTATCACTGCATATAGTGCTTGGTAATGCTCCCTGTGAACTCTTTGCCGTTGTCTGACCTGAAACATCTTGCTCTCCCGTAGGGGGCAGTATCGGACCGAAGTCTCTCTGTTGCTTGCACTGTGTCACTTTGTTGTTCAGGAAATACACACACAGTGCACTGGAGCACGACAGAGCGTGCCTACAGCCCCCTCTAAGGGTCCTGCATGTGCACCAGCTCCAGAGCTGCTTTGGCTCTCACACCGGGCTCCTGGTAAACTTCCCTTCAGTGCACACATCACAAAGTGGAGGTGTGTTGACCTCACCCTCCCCCTCACCCCCACCCTCACCCTCCGACTCTCTTCTCTCCTCGGGGTCCAGGCAGCCTAGCAGACGGAGAGCAGGTCGCTCTAAAGGTGTCTCTTTAAGGTGCTCGTGCTGCTTCTTGCTGTGGACGGTTCTGTCCAACATGTTGCACAGAATGTGTTTATCTCTAATAAACTGAGATGTGAGAACACCCTCGCTCTGAAGTGGAATCTGTTTCTACAGCGCTCGGCTGGGAGGATTCTTCAAAACCCCACCTAACGTCTGTAGCTCCTGCATGCTGCACAACTCCACACGACCTCTTTCACCAGCTCTCCACTTTAAGTGCAGTATGTAGTATTTTCATATTTTGTTAGTTTGTTGTAATAGGGTTACCATTTCTAAATAGCTGCAACAACACTCCTGTTCTCATATTATTTTGTTACGTATTCCTCTTTCTGTGTCTTTGTATGGACCAAATCTACCAGTGTGTGTGTGTGTGTGTGTGTGTGTGTGTGTGCATTTACGTTTTACTTGCAATCTGAAAACATAATTAAAATACAAATGCACACACACACACACACACACACACACACACACACACACACACACACACACACACACACACACACACACACACACACACACACACTCTGATTTGTTGAAAAATGTGTGAAAAGATATTTTTTAGAAACTTTTATTTTGTATTAAAGCAAAGAGTAAACAGTTTCCTCTCGATAATAAATGACCATGAAAACAGCGTCAGTATATTTGACATTGTATTCTCTTTGTGTTAGAGGGGAAGCAGGTGGATAGAGATCAGCCTCAGGTACAGGCTCTGCTACGGGAGGACCCTCAGGTACAGGCTCTGCTACGGGAGGACCCTCAGGTACAGGCTCTGCTACGGGAGGACCCTCAGGTACGGAGGCTGGCGAGGCTCAAACTGAACCTCCGTGAACAAACAATGCTGAAATAAACGTTTATCTTTCAAAGTTTTTGGTTAAATTTCAGTCTGAGGTCAGAAGTCCAAGACCCCCTAAGCCACAGAAACATCCTAGAGGCCAAATGGTGGTACTGCAGCTTCTGTGACGTCAATTTGGCCCAAAAATACTACCTTTATTTTGATTATTCAAGTGTCTTTACACAAGTCTTTCTTCAGAAACTGCGCCCCCTGTGGTCACTGCGGGAACAACAAATACAGTTTATTTTTCAATGTTCCTGGTTAACCTTCAGTCTGAGGTCAGAAGCCCGATCCCCCCTAGCCACAGCAGGTCCGTAGCGTCCAAACAGCTTCTGGGACTAAATACTATCTTTAGTTTGCTTATTAAAGTGTCTTTACAAAATCCAAGCCATAGTAGATCCTAGTGGCCGAACGTGGTACTGCAGCTGCTGTGACGTCATTTTGTTTGTCTTTACACGAGTCCTTCAGTCCGCTCTGCTGTATCCAGTTCTTATTATACATCCATGGGAAAAGCGCTATAAAAAGCCCGGCGCAGGAGCGTCCGTGGGGGACAATGATACGGCGTCTGCGTTGGTTGTGCCGGTTCGATCCCGCTGCTTCTGGTGTATCTTGAGGTGTCGTTTGCGCTCGTCGCTGCGGGCGAAGCTGCGTCCGCATTCGCTGCATCTGAAGGGTTTCTCTCCGGTGTGCGTGCGCACGTGCGTGGTCATGTGATCGCTGCGGGAGAAGCTGCGGCTGCAGAAGCGGCAGCTGAACGGACGCTGACCCGTGTGGATACGCAGGTGACGCGTCAACTCGTCACTGCGCGAGAAACAGCGCTCGCAGCCGGCGGACGGGCAGGAAAACGGGCGATGTTTCGGCGAAGTCCTGCACTTCTTGTTGGCTTTCTGTGAGGAGAGGAGAAGGAAGGCAGGAAGTCAGAAGAGGCGTTTATTTACAGAAACTTTCAACACGAGGCCATGAGTAAGGCATTCAAAGGGCTTTGTTTACCGTGGGTATGGTCCACAGTACTCACTCTTACGTGTCCAACACGTGTAATGTGTAAAGTAAAGCGCTTTGAGCACTTGAAAAAGCGCACTAATAAAACAATGTAATATTTATTATTATTACAACAATTATGTTTTGTTACAGTAAATGTGTAATTCAACATGTATAGGTTCTACTTTCTGGTTTATTTCTAGTCTTTTAATTGTTATTGTGCAATGCCTTGACTTTTTGTTCTGCTGCAACGCAAACGTTTCCCACATTGGGATCAATAAAGTACTTCTTATCATCTTATCTGATCTTACCTGGACGCCGGGGTAGGAAAGGGGCGGGGCTTGTGATGGGAACACCAGCGAATCAGAGGGGGGCGTCATTGTGTACCTCGTTGTCGAATGGGAGAAGACAGAAGAGTCTCCTCCACAGCTGATTGGCTCAGGAGGCAACAGCGATGATGATGAGGATGATGATGATGATGATGATGATGACGAGGGTGAGGAGGAGGAGGAGTCACACTGACCAATCCGGTGATGAGGCTGAGCAGAGGCTCCGCCCACAAGCTGGCGGGCTCGAATGAGAAGCGCCCGCTGTACGAGGGGAGGAGCTCCAGGTCTGTCAGACAGTCTGAGAGGAGAAGGAGAGGGGTCAGTACTTAGGGCCTAATCGTGACGTCTGTAGAGTGGGAATTGTAGTCCTTTATAGTGGTATAAAGGACTACAATACCCATGGTGCCTCCTAAAGAGACTGAGATTAAACGTGTCTGAAAGACGCCGTCGTTAAAGTTATTCAAGCCTTCACAGAAAGAAAGACAGAAACAAAGAGCAAGTTATTCTTTTGAGTTTTGCCTCTTTTGTTTGACGTGCGTTGACGTGCGTTGACGTGCGTAAAGGCCTGTTCTCTTCGTGGAATGTGTGAAAGGTTTATTAAACGCACGTAACACGTATCAGCTCACCATCGCAGGCCGACAGGAAGGACGCTGCCACAGGTCTTACGTCTTATATACTGATATACTGATTAGGTGTATTATGGTCTGTGAAACACATGTTTAAGGACCAGTTGCTCAGTTTGAGATCATTTGCATTCGGACATTCTTTATAACTTTATTAAATAAACTTGTTTTTGAATCATAACATTTCCACCAGTCAGTAAACAGGAAGTCTGCTGTGATTGGCAGAAACCGGTCAGCTGACTGAGTCTTCATATTTAAACATTAATAAATACTGCATTTTATTGATCTGCTTATTAAACTAATATTCATATTTATTCTTTTTGCATTTTGACCCATCTTTCAAACTTATTATTATTTACACTTGTTGTTGTTGTTGTTGTTGTTGTTGTTGTTGTTTCTGAAAAACTCTAGTATAAGGATCATATATAAATATGCCTGTTTCTGACTAAAACACATAAATGTATATTATACATTTATGTGTTTCACTAAGAAAACTATGTAATTAGTTAAAGTGATGAACCCAAGAAAGCATCATTATAATATCGTTTAATTAGTATTATAGTTTTTTAAGTTGTTTGTTTACATTTTAACTGTTTGCGGGACTTTAAACTGCAGATTAATATCTAAATGCTAATAATCCCTGCATGTCTCTCTTTCCTTGCACACTTTCATGTGTAATGCATGATGAATGTAAAACAGCTCCATTCAGACTGTAATGTACATGTGTGCCAGTAAAAAGTTCTCATATTCCATGTACTTGTGTACAGACTATTCTTGCACTATTTCTATTTTTATTTTATTTACTTGCACATCTCAAACACTCTCTTGCACTATTTTATCTGTGTTATGTGTTGGTTAGGGTTAGGACATATGACTTCATCTCCATATCTCCACTGTAGCTGCTGAGCACATGGTGAGAGAGACTTATCTTGAATGTTTTATAGTAAATGTGATGCATGAGTCTCTCTCTCTCCTCACCTCCGTGCTCCCGGAGCTCCGCGCTCTGCTCCCCGGCTCCCTGAGCTACTGAAGCCGCCAGCAGTGAGCCTCCAGCGGCCGCGTTCTGCAGCAGCGAGTGGAGCTCCTCCAGCCGGGAGAGGTACCCCTCCAGCGGGGAGAGGGGCGACGGGAGGCCGGCCTCCGACAGCTGCAGGGCGGACAACATCCTCCGTGAGAGAGGGGGGTCCGATTCCGGACCGACGAAAAAGTAAACTCCTAACACGGAGAAGAGGCGCTATTCCCGGGTTGCTGCTGCTCGGAGTGCCGGAGAAATCCAAAGCTCCAGGAATTTTTGAAAAATTATTTTAAATGTTATTCAGACTAAGTGTGTGTGTGCATGTGTGTGTGTGTGTGTGTGTGTGTGTGTGTGTGTGTGTGTGTGTGTGTGTGTGTGTGTGTGTGTTGTGTGTGTATTTGTGTGTGTTGTGTAGCCTATGTGTGAAGCTCCAAGAATATTTGAAATAGCCATGAATTTTAAATGTTATTAAGAAGCATATTTGAAATAGAGTTTTAAATGTTATACAGACTAAGTGTCGGTGTGTGTAGGTTTTTGTGTAGGTCGGTGTCGGTGTGTGTCGGTGTGTATGTGTGTGTTTTCACGTGTTGAACTTATGCAGGAGGATTCCGTGGGTTTATAAAGACTCATGTTGAGTGACGTATACATCTCCAAACACGGTCCAAGCGGAAAGCCCATATTTGGTCACAGCGGGGAGTCTCTCTCTCCGGTGTTTCCCGGTGCTCCCGGTGGTCCCGGTGCTCCCGGTGTGTGGAACAGGAGACCCCCCGGAGAGAGGGCCTCCTCCCCAGCAGGACTGCAGTCGGTCACCGGGAGTAAATAGCAGACATGACCGGAAGCACGGAGACACGTGACAGCCCGGATCAGTTTGTTTTTTAAGGCTCGGTGTCACGTGGAGGTCGGACAGCGACGTCATCACTTCCTAAAGCCTTATTTGGGGGGTTTTCCGGTCAGCTGATCTGAGACCAGGAACTGTGCCGAAGTAGCCTATTAGTATTTACCTTTATACAGTTTATAGTCTGTATAGTCTGTGGTACTTTATATACAGTCTATACTTTTCTATATTTGGTAGCCTATATATATACAGTCTATATAGCTTACTATATAGTCTATAGTTCTTAATATATACTGTCTATAGTAGCCTGTAGTCTATAGTTCTTAATATATACTGTCTATATAGTAGCCTACTTGCCTTAATATATGCAGTAGTACTTAGGCCTACCTTTATATATTTCCCTTTATAGATAGTACTTGCCTTTATACTGTTTTACGGACAACCAGAGATTAAATGTAAGCTCATGCTTCTTTGTAACTCACATGTTAATTCCCTGCACTATAGTTGCTTTCCAGGCTTGGTTATTGCCTTCAATTTGAAAACAAAAAAACGTAATTTTACCAGCTTCTACAACCTTAACTCCTGATGGACCACTGGTTTAAAATCCAAAATACACACACACACCAAAGAGCGCTTCACTGACCCTAATCATGGTGGTTTAAAACATATTAAATAGTAGTTTCTATCGCTCTATATTTTTCAGATAAGACTTAAAGTGTTAAAAAACAAAAGCACCGCTGGAGGATGCGGGCATCGATCCCGCTACTTCTCGCATGCTAAGCGAGCGCTCTACCATTTGAGCTAATCCCCCGATGACGACATGGAAGATACAGTGGTGGAATTTATACCGCCTAACAGACTATTGCGTAAGAAGGATTGGATGTCAGTTGAATACGAAAACTATGTCGGAGACTTTACAGAACAAACTGCTGCTAAACTAAACCGGGAAGTTGACTAATTACTGGACAAACTGCTGCTAAACTAAACCGAGAGGCTGACTAATTAATGGGAAAACTGCTGTTAAACTAAACCGGGAAGCTGACTAATTACTGGACAAACTGCTGCTAAACTAAACCGAGAGGCTGACTAATTAATGGGAAAAACTGCTGTTAAATTAAACCGAGAGGCTGACTAATTAATGGAAAAACTGCTGCTAAACTAAACCGAGAGGCTGACTAATTAATGGAAAAACTGCCGTTAAATGAATCAGGAAATAAATACATAAATAAATAAATACAGGCATAAATACATTCAAGAATAAATAAATGCATAAATAAATATGGATATAAGTGAATAAATGAATGAATAAACA